TGGATTGGTATAAAATTTAGGGAGCACTTTTATTGATTATATACATCCTGTAAATATTTCCTTTACTTTATTTTTGAAGATGGACAATATAGAATAAAAAAACCATCATATGCTTTTTACAATGAAAACTAAATTACATTTGATAACTTGGATGTTCAAAAAAAAAAAAAAATCATGGCTCATTTCACATGTTTCGTGCCATATTAATAAATCTCTTTTTTCCAATATTAATAAATCTCTTAATCCGTTGCAATACGTATTATTTACTCTTACTATTTAATTATTCAGAAAACCATTACCATATCAATGCAATTCTCTTGAATAATATCTTGATATTTACCTATGGATGGACCCAAAATAACTCAAGAAATGATAGTAAACATGTCCTACCACTCTGACTATACCGACACATCGGTGTCATGAGTGTTTCCAGGAAATTTATGTCCATATCCCCAAATTAATATGAGCACCATACGACCACGAGAACTCACGAATATATATGAATTATATAAAGACAGAAAAAGAAACAAGAAATTTATGAAAAGAATGTAGACCGTCCATTGTATATAAATATATGAATTATATAAAGACAGAAAAAGAAACAAGAAATTTATGAAAAGAAGGTAGTCCGTCCATTGTCTCCTCTCTGGTTTATAGTCGTTCTCCATTATTAATTTATAACGTTTAAGAAAAACTCACAAACAAGATGAACAAATGTTACAAGGGGGAATTTTTATCGCATATGCAAATTTTTGTTTTAAAAAAAAAAAGTAATGTAACAAATCGACATTGAAGAAGTACCTTTTCACCCATATGCAGAAGAAAAGACCCATCACAAGCAAAAGGTGTAGGGATGGCTCTTAAGGAGTCAGCTGCTTAAGAATCTTGCGGAGTCTCGAATCTCGTCGGGGTATCGATACCCGCCATACAACAAAGTCCACTTATCAAGATAATAAGGAAGACGATTCCCTGCAAAAAAGGAGGAAAGAATCACAATGAGGAAGACACATCAAAACAGATGAAATGATATTAGCTTCTAGCTAGATAATGATTAATATGCCCATTAAACTCGTCAAATTTTTGTGATTTTCATGAATCTTAGCTGAAGTCAGAAGTGTAACAGAGAGTTAAGAAAGAGTTAACTTCTTACCACTAGTATGCCCTCCAAAAGTGATGCCTTAAATTTGCAGAGTTCATCACAGGTTGTAGTAGCATTAAGAGTGGTGTTTCCTGTAGCACTTTCAGCTAGAAACCTTTGGAGAGTTTTGTAAGATGTGTACCAATAAGGATCAGACACATATAGAGCTGTATATTTACTGCCAGATTGCTCTACGGAACTAACGAGTTTGGAGATGCTTTCACCTGGAGAATAGGTCAAAGAAATTTCTTAAGTTTTTTGTTCTCAGACTATGTAACTGTGCTAGTTTTTCTTTTGAAATAATGAGATCTTTCTACTTACGTTCTGAGTGTGACTGGCCAGATTTGCTATTTGATTCAGAACCCTCGGAACAGAGCACAACCAAGTCGGTTTCTCCTTCTTTCCTTGTTTCTCTTCTAGCAAGCAAATGATCCTGTCAATTATCGGAAAGCAATTAGGAGTGATACAATTGAGTAGGAACAGGATTAGGAAAAAATCCATAAGAGAAATGAATATTACTTTGAAAGCCTGCAAGTCTGATAGTTTCTGAATTGTTCCATCTTCAACAAAGCAAGAATCAGAGAAGACGATATTGCTGACTCCTACATTGTGAGGGCAAGCTTCTTTAAGCCCTGAAAGCAACAAATTCTCCATCCTTTCTTCCTCTGGCGCAGCAATATATGGGAATGCCAATGAGAAGTTGGAAGCTGTAAATAGATTCTGTTGAAACAAAGACTCGGATGTCAAAATATTGGAGAGGTTTAAAATAAACAAATATGTCAGAGATGTGTGTTATGCGAATTCCGCGTTGAAAAAAGAAAAACTTGCACTTACATTCAAAGTGTTAACAAGGGCAGGGTCCGAGTTCCTTCTCGAAGAAACATCAGAAGACAGTAACTGCAGGCGGAAGAGAATGTAAAGTTAGAATTCTCAGCATAGCACAGAAGATGCAGAGAAGATACGTTTTATTTCTCACAATATTACAGACAGAAGTTTCTTCACAATAACACAGCAAAAACCAAAGATCCAAATGGTCATATACACTAATGATAAAAAACAAGCTCCTAAATCATTCACTCATACAGACTTGACATGATAACAAGTTCATAGATAAACATATTCTTACCTCTCTGCCGATGAACACAAGTGCAACATCAACAGGTTGCTCAACTTTCTTCTCAGAGCACTAGACAAAGGAGACAGTGAAGAAGACATCCAGTGAGTTGGAGAATCGAAAATCTTGTGCTCTTGGAAGAGAGGAGAACAAAAAGAAGAAACATACCAGAAAGTTTGACCAGCCTCCTTGAGTGAAAACAGAATCCACAAGATCCTTTGCAGACATCACCTGATAATTCACAGCCTCATCTAATTCACCATTAGCAGACCTGAGTTTCGATAATCACATAAACCAAATCAAACCAGCAAATCTCGGACACAAATCAGATAAAGTTCACAACTTTCAGGGACCAGAATCGGAAAGAAGAAAAATGTGTATATTGACAACGAGGGAGTGTAAAGAGAGAGAGAGATGCATAACTGGAGATGCGGAGACCAGAGGAAAGCAGGAACGGTATTTGGAGAAGCCAATCCAAATTCAAAGAGAGAAGCTACCACCAAAAACGCCACGAAACCAATTTGCATCTTCATCATCTTCCTCGTCGAACAAAATCCTACCGGAGAAGAAAGAAAAAAAAAAAACGAAATCAATCGTGTTTCGCGATTCGGAACAAATCAAAGCGCATAATCGAAACAATCAATAGATTCAAAGATAATCAACACCAACCTAGAGAATCGAGATCGCTTCACGGATCAATAGACTTTTGTAATCGAAGTTTCAAATCAAACGAAAGGACAGATTCATATATCTCCGATCCTCAAATCTGGACGACACATATGAGAGTACAAAGACTCAGGAGAGAGAGAGGTCCACATGTTGGGTGTTAACGACGTCGTTTCAAAACGAAAAGAAAAAAAATCGACAACCGGTTTTGATTTAGCTAAGATGACCGGTATGGTATTTTAGGTCGTATTGGGCTTTTATAGATTTCTAATACGGCCCAAATTCAAAGATACGGCTCCGTCACTGAACAAGAAAGAAAACGGAATATTTGTTTACTCTGCTAAGATCGTTTATGAATGTGAAATCATTTTGTTAAGTGTTTACTAAATTTGTTTTAACAGTTTTAAAGCTGCATTGGATGAAATCTATTGAGAATTGCAATGTGACCTGATGTTGAACCAGCAGCCCCTGTGGATTACGAAATTGCGGTGGAATAATTAGTTAATTGGGCCTTAGTAAATTAATCAAAATGATTTCGTGCAAATTAATTCTTCTTCTTTGACCTAAAAATTCGAAATCTTATCCACGTCTGACTAATTAGCTGATTAGATTAACAGTAAATTTTCAGACACTGCCCACAAAAATCGACCTTGTCTTGTTCTTCCAATTCCCAAGTTCCTCTCTCGATGATCTGCTGATAAATTTGTTCTGGGTTTGCTCGACTGGTTTTCTAATCTTTGGATATTCGGATTCCGCTTAATTTTGTTATTCTGTTTTTGAAAGAGGTAAGTCAATAAACCCTATTCCGATTCTCTGAAACGATTCGATTGACTTTCGCTAAGCTTTTTCGATCAAGTCTCTGATTTTAGGGTTCGATATATCGTTTGGTTGAATCTCACTGTTTTAATTTGACTTTGACCAGAGTGATTGATTAGAACAAGGATTTTTTTTGGCTATGGAAGATGCAACAGAGACTAGGTATTGGTGTCACATGTGTTCTCTTTCGGTGAATCCAGTAATCGAAGGCGACATTATCAAATGCAATTTCTGTCAAAGTGGATTTGTTGAAGAAATTGATGATAATAATGCTCAAGATTCTGTTACCAACAATGATCATCATCAAGCTGCTGATTCTCTCTGGGCTCCGATTTTGATTGGGATGATGAACAATCCTGACCAATACACAATGTCTCAGAGAGAATGGGAATCTAATGTTGAAGAAGAAGACGATGATGATGAGCAGAACAGTGATGGTGAAATCGATTTGGATCGGCAGCTCGAGGCGATTATGAGTAGAAGGAGAAGCCATTCAGCTGCGATTCTCGGTATGCTTCAGGGGATTCGAGCAGGTTTATCGGTTGAATCCGAGAACAATGAGGATAATCCGGATAACGAACTTGTGATCTTGATCAACTCGTTTAACCAAAGGATAAGGATTCAAGATCCTGACGAAACGAATTCCGTTCCTTCTGGATCTTTAGGTGACTATTTCATCGGACCTGGATTCGAGATGTTGCTTCAGCGTTTGGCGGAGAACGACCCGAACAGGTATGGGACACCTCCGGCTACAAAAGAAGCGGTTGAGGCCTTGGCGAGTGTGAAAATCAAAGAGAGTTTGTTGCAATGTACTGTGTGTTTGGATGATTTCGAGATTGGAATGGATGTGAAAGAGATGCCGTGTAAGCATAAGTTTCATAGCGACTGTTTGTTGCCGTGGCTTGAACTTCATAGCTCATGTCCTGTGTGCAGATATCTGCTTCCTACAGCA